CCTGTTTCCAAAATGCTCGCATGATTAATTAAGTATTTAATTAGTTTTAACGCTTTTTAGATCTGTTTCAAATTAAACTCCCTTTTTAGAACTTTAATTATAGTATGACTTGTCAACTAAAGAAAGTTGGTCTTATTTGTTCTCCTAGACCAAGCAACGATATACTATGATTTTCTATTGCTGTTTTTGTTTTTTTAGATATTGATGAGTGTGCTAAGGAAACCCACAACTGCAGTTCTGATGCTGTTTGCAATAATACCAAGGGTTCATACAACTGCACCTGCAAACCTGGATACCATGGAGACGGAAAAAATTGCTTAGGTAAATGATAGATTGGTTCAAAGATTGGTTCAAATCCATGACGCTAAAGTGGCACTAGGCCCAATTTTTTTTCTTTTGTTTGTTTTTTTGTTTGTTTGTTTGTTTTTTTTACGCTAATAATAATAAATTTGTATGAATTTTCAAAGTTTGCAAAATTGTCCTTTTTCATGTTTACGACCGAGTAATAGCAGAGAATGGGACGAGTTGGCTTCTGACGTCATTTCAGGAATAACAAGATTTTGTTTCTGAAGCCCCGTCCACACATATCCGGACATTTTTTAATTCGCAACTTTTTCTATACGTATTCAAACATTTCCCGGCCCACACTTTACGTGTTCGAATCGAATTCGCCTGTTCACACGCATCCGATGGTATCCGGATTCAATATAGAGAAACTAGGCCTACATGTTGTGCTGCCATATTGGTTTATTGTTCGGTAAGAGACTGAACACAATTTTGCTAAGTCATCAGATTCGAAAATATCCGGATTCACCTTCCACACGTTACTGGATTCGTTGCGGATTTATTTGTTTCCACTCTGGAGAACGGATTTAAAAATATCCGGATTCGCTGCCGAATTCGCCGGATACGTGTGGACGGAAAGAAAAAGTTGCGGATTTAAAAATATCCGGATTCGCTGCCGAATTCGCCGGATACATGTGGACGGAAAGAAAAAGTTGCGGATTCAAAAATATCCGGATAGTGTGGACGGGGCCTGAGAAGAATATATGCGAACATACGATAGTGTGCGTCAAAATCTTTGCAGAAGGCAAGCAATATGTGTTGCTGGAGGCTGTACAATACCGGATGCGTAGGATAGAGTATACATCTTCATTCAATACCTCTATCTCGATGAAACTCGACCAGAAAAGAGTAAAAGACCAAAGAAGTGGGCTGATTTGTGCAAAGGTAGAGCCGGGGAGCCATCGAGCATTTTTCCGATTCGGGCTCGTCGCTATTCTAAAAACTTGGACTATTCTTCTCTATCTCTAATGGAAAGCCTGAAATTGTCAAGGTACTGCATAAGACACGAATTTGGAATATGCTGGAAGCCAACTGACTATTCCGAGCTCAAACGATCCTCCGAGTCCCAGACCGACATAAATGTGGAAACTGTAGTTGAGAAAATTATACGGTAAATTAAACGCATCGCGTTGTTGTTGTTTGTTTGTTTGTTTGATTTTTTACTCGAAACAGAGACTTTTAATTTCTATAACGAATAGTAAACGAAACCTAATTCCTACAACAAGGTGATTAAGATTGTTGCGTCTTCGAACTATTATTGTATTTGTGAATAAGTAAAAGTACCTCACCATCGGATATTGCTTGCCGACATCTCTGCTTATCTCTTATGTTAAAACTAATTTCAATTATTGATCTGGAGAAGTAGGCAGGAGTGGATTTCGACTGCATCGCATTTTAACTTGTATTTCCCGGGAAATTAATGTTTGAATCTAAATATGTTTTAACACTCCGAAATCTGCACGTTCCGTAAAGCCAAATAACCAACTCTTCGTGTTTATTGACAGTTTTATAACTCTTTAAGAGTTGCAAGTTTACTCTTCAGCCATGATTTTTTATAACCCAAATGGACCAGCAAATTGTCGATCCTAGCCTAAATTACAACGCGGCGATCTCGACAGACGACCCGCGCTTCGAAATGGAAAAATATATATACATGCATCGCAGCCGTCCAGATCGTAGCTAGAATCCGAATTGTTATGCATGCTAGATGATACAATTCTTTCACTCAAAAATCTTGTCCAGTTTTTATGAAATTTTAATCACAAATAAGCCAAAAATGTTTTGAGAGCATTCGAAACTCAGTCAAAAGTTAGCACGGTTACCAAAGTGACGTCACTAGTAGCCCGACCCAGATCCCACTTTGCGCGGTGGTGAACGTAGAAATTACATTTTCAAACGCCTGTAGAAACGCAGGGGTCTTATCAATCGAGATAATTTTTTGCTGAAGTAATCAGGGAAACTACTAGATTTCATTAAAGGGAAGACAAATTGGAGTTAGTGACACTTTAAACGAAAATCCGTACGAGAAATTAATAATCTGGCATAATGCAACCGTAGTTTTCCATTCATTTCGATGTCGAATAAATATTAAAGAAGGCCGTTAAGTTGATATACACAAAGTGCTTAATAAAAAACTTATCATTATTCTTTATCTTGATTTCCTTGAGAATTGATTTCCGCTCTTAGCCTTCGCGCAGACATCTATTTCCTTTGTGACGTGCAGGCTAGTTTGCTCTCCTTTTACACAAAATTTTCCTAACACCGTGGATGTAAGGTAACATGTATTTTTCCTGTATTTGTTCTAGTTGCCTCGACATGCAAGGAAATGTATGACA